GTTATTTTCTTCACTATTAACTAATCTGTTGTTAAATTTATTGTACTTTAAGATTCCGAGTTTACATTTAAAATATTGCAATTAGTTTTTCGCGGGGAGGCAAGCTCGTCGTGAGGCAAGTTGTTACAAAGAAAAAAAGTTGCATTTCAGTGAAATATTTCAATTTCTGATGAAATAAAATACAATTCTATGAATAATGTTTATTTATTAAGGTTCAAATCAACCGAAATATATTATTTTTAAAAGAAAACTAAACCAGAAGGTATAAAAATCATGAACATTATCTTTCGCTTTAGCCTTACATTCAACTGTTTGTACTTATTTATTGAGTTCTATACTTATTAACAATCTTAAACCTAATATAATTAATTAACTTTCTAACAATATTTCAAATCATCACACGACTCGGCGCATTTGGCAAACTATGGAACGATGAACAATGAAATCGCGCGGATAACACGTGAAGTCGTCGACGTCTGAAAGATTAAGTTGTAAATGTAGCAAAAAAAAAGAAATGTTTTCGAGAGGCTTTTTGGCTCTGCGCACATGGTGCCTTGATGTGCCCGGCAAAACACTATTGCTCACGGCTGAAAAGTAACAACCAGCCCCAAATCAGCGGAACAACTAGCCCCAATCAACACACGTGGCAATTTATGTGAATATTCTGCTTATGTATTGAAAAGTCTAGTAAAAACTATTGCAACGTGTTCTTATTTTATTATTTCGACGTTAAATAATCGAAATAGACCAAAAAGTCATGAACGACAAATATCTACTTTTCTATACGTGACTAGGTGGTTGCTTATAATCACAAGATTCGCTGTCGCAGATACCATTAAAATGGATGACAGAGTAGCGTGATCGACTCACATGGCGAAAACAATTGAAAGCACAATCCTATCTCTTTTCGTTTTAAAGTTATAACCATTGTAACAACTTACCAACCTACCGTAAGTACTAAGGTTAGAATCCAAGAAAATGTTACACGAACAGATTCCCTTTTGACATCGTTTTCGAAGTGTTTTGAAGATAATCAGTGTTTTCTTTTTTTGGCTTCAAAATACCATCATAGACTTCTCACTTGATAGGATAGAATCCAATGACCTTCGAATAACCTCAAAGGTGATGTCAAAGGAGAATCTGTTTGTACCTTTATAGTTGCTCCTTTGAACCCTATAATCGCACAACTTACCTCTTTCATATTTTCTACTATTTTCTAAATTAACAGACACTTTTATGTTCCGTTTCTCATGACTCGTTCTATATACGTATATTCGAATTGTAATTGTTGCAGAAAATACCTTCCCAATAATTATGCTATGATTTTGTGAACATTAAAAAAGTCATGCACACACTGTACATTAAAACAAAACATAGGTGCTGATATAAATAAATGTAATAAATTTATAATATAAAAAATTTTAAAACTTTAAATAATAATAGATTCAAAAGTTTGTACTCCATCTTTGGTTCGAAATAAGTGCGATATTTGAAAGAATGGAACCGTAATCTGACTCAATTACTACACCATTAAATCCAAGAACTCTGTGCTTATTAACCCTTTCGCGACTAGCGCCGGCTATATCCGGCATCCACTAAGCGCGTCGCATTGGCTCGCGCCTCAACAGCTCAAAGTGAAGATTTATTTTAAAATACAGAGCAAGGCCTCAACAACATTCCCTTTATCCAGTACACCCTTAAGTCCTCTGCTGTTCCAATGAAATCCTCTAAGATTTGAAAAAACGCGAGACACTCTTAATGTGCATGGTGTGCACTAATGGCACGACGACCCGTTCGTTAGTGGCCTACTGATAGCTAGTTCCGCCGTCGCGAAAGGGTTAAAATGAATCGTCAGACCTAAGAGGGAATGTAACTTCATATTCTGTAACATAATAAATATAACATAAAAAAGTATTATGCTATAACCAAATACGTTTTCAAAAATTTAATAATACATTAAAGAAAGCACTACACAAATAGTCAAACAAAATCAATGTATTTTATCGCAAATATAAATTCGTTAATTAACATTATTTTTATTACATGATATACAGGGTAACTGTACTTTATATAGAACACCGTAATATCTCAGCAAATAAGTAACAAAATTAATCGACAACAGTGTAATATTTCATTAAAAACGAAAGATAATCATATTCACATTTGAGCTTCAGTTACAAGTCTGTTGTTGAATGCGAAGTTCAATGTTGTTTGAAAGAGTAGAACAGTTTTTGAGAGGCGAGTTAAATAGTGAAATTTCTTAGTGAAGATAAGGTAACAAAATATTATTTTTGCATGATTTATCATTAAACATGTTTGCTTTTGAGTCTTCAAAAGAAATTTACCGTTAAATTCTTTTTCTTCTCAGTATAATTATTATTTTTCCGTCGAAATGCGTATCTACCCAATATGGAACACGTTGAGTGTACGTAATGTGGAACACGTTCCACATTAATATTATAAAGTGTTGTATTATATTATTGTATTATGTTATTATTATTGTTTATATAATAGATGGAAAATATTTGTTTATTTGTCTTCGTTATTTATATAAATATTCATTTTTCATAGTAAAAATAAACTTTTTTAAGATTTCTTTACTTTTCCAGGTGTTCCATATTAGGTTCCACTTTTTCAACTCGACGCGTTTGATATTTTTTACATTTTTTACCATGACTTTAAGACACTTAAACTTTTGCATAGTTAACTATTAATGTATAAATATCTGTTAATTTTGTCGTGTTTTAACGTTAGTTTCATTTAAAAAGAAGCATGTCTCTAAGTTTAGCAAGCTTTTAAAATCAGGTGTTTCATATTAGGTGTGAAGTAAGGTAGTTATGAATAATAAGGCGTGACTAGGGTTACGCTATCTACCCACACGGTAGTAGTGAGATCTTTATTAAACGTTGTCTGACGGCTTTGGAGGTCCGTGCAAGACTGCCCTCCTGTCGCCTCGCTTTTTTTCTACTGCCTTTCGGCTACGTGTTAATCATCCCTGATTGTTTAACCCGTCACATCGGTGTTAACCAATCAGGTAATTTCTTTCTGAGTCGCTGCGTGTCCCTTGCGCCCTTGGCTCGGGGACCGCAGTGCGACTTGGCGGGGAAGGTTTTTCCCGTGACGTCATTTGGCGACACAGCTGAGTTTCCTCCAGGTCAGGTACTCGTGACCTGCCGGTCCGGGCCTCGTACCAGTCTGCTCGCCAAATGTTCTTCGCTGTAGCTGGTCGCTACAGGTGCAATTACCCTACATGTAATTAAAATTAAAAATTTCATGTTCTCTCTTTAGTTCCACTCGCAAAGAATAATATTTCCTTACATTCCGAATACAGTGTAGAATAAATTAATTATAGCTTTTTGCAGAAGTTACATACACTTCAAATCAATTTTAATTGAAAGTCGACTGTTTTATAGCCAGTCGCATTCTTTATAAAACGATGAACGATAAGATTTTCAACGTTATTGTAGCTTCTAAAGAAAAATAACTTATACTGGAGCGTGTATATGACAAATACATTAGATGGACGCGTTTTGAAAGAGAAATTTGCATAAAAAGGTTTATCTATAATCTAATTTAACTATATCGCAGTATAGTAATTTTGCATAATGTGATAATTGTAGCTTTTCGTGGAAGGATTGTAAAAGCTATTGAATGTTTACAAAAAGCATTTTTAAGTTTATACTTACAGAGTTCATGAAAAATGTCACAAATAGATTCGAATCTCTTTTTACATTTAGTAGATAATAACGCATGTTTTACATTCTCTCGTCATAACGTTTTATTTGTATATATAACATATGTAAATCATAAAATTATTTACGACTTTAATTTATCTAAATCTATTGCTAAACATAGTAAAAGAATTAAATCGTTTGAATTTTAGTTTATACGAAATGTAACGGTAAAAGGATAGTAACAATCTGTTGTGAATTTCGTTTTGGTCTGTTCTGTTTTCTATCTAGATTGTTAAAGATTTATTGTGCTAATTTAACGTGTAGTTTACGTAAGTGAAACAAGAGAAATTGTATCATTTTGTTCCTTAAGGCTGCTCTTGCGAATAGGTAAAACTTTCACTGCACGTTTATTATAACGTGTTCCATATATGCTATCTCATGCAACTGACCAGGAACGCCAACTCGGTTTTCCCGTCTCTTGTTTCTTATTTCATTAGTGAAAACGGAAGATACTTGTTGGTTCAAAAGGAAACTTGAAATATATCTCAATACTTTACGCGTTTAGCAGGTAAATGCTCTTTGAAACAATTGTATATTCTATTTTAAATTCTAATAAAATATATCGATATTTAGGAAATTTATTTACCTAGTAATGAGATAATCAATTTGAAAACAACTTTATTTGTAACTAACAAAACATTTATTTATAAAAAAAATAATCTTGGGTATACACCTATCCCCCGATTTACACGGTACTTTATTTACACGATTTCACTTTTACACGGTTTTCAAAATAACGGCTTTTCAGAAATATAAACTGTTCAAAATAAAAGTTTATGCTGCGCACATATTTGTACAGTCATTTTTTAGTACCGTTCGTTTGTTAACACTGGCATTAAACCAAAAAATGAACGGAATTTCCCCCTTTTTTGCACACAAAAAACATTCATATTGTAACGTAAAGTTTGCTGCCGCCGCGGGTCTTTCATTAGCGACCGGCTATTTTCGCCTTCATCGATCGCTCGCTCGAAACTAAACCCTGACCCTGAATATTTTTTGTTTTTCATTTTTATTTTATTTTTATTTTACATTTAAAATAATGAATTTAATTAAATCACTGACTAAATTATGCGCATTTTGTTTTTTCCCCGATTTACACGGTTTTTCATACAAAAAGCCATGATTTCGATTTACACGGTATTCTGAGGCACCGATCATCCGTGTAAATCGGGGGACAGGTGTATACCTCAAATTTGTACATTCAAAAGGAAGCTTCCTCTGTTACATATTTGCAGTATCATTTTTAATGTAAACTTACATTCCAGAATGTTGGCGACAGTAAATTGCTACTCGACAACAGTACTTTTTCTACTTATACACCCATCGTTCTCAGCGACGGTTCTTCCAAGGCCACCTTCTTCACCTAATTACATTCAACGTTTTGATCAAAGACTAAATGATCGAAGGCTCTACGAGGGAAGGTCCTTGCGAAGCGTTTTACACAATTCTAACACAGAAAGAGCTAACAACGATTACAGGTACCAATTATGTATTTACAATTAACTGTTTTACTTTCGCTTCCATACTATGAGAACTCTCAAATCTAGACACTTCTCCTTTCTCTTCATCGATCTATCAACCGGTATGGAAATTATATGTTACTGTTGCATTTAGAAAGATTACATTCGTTTATAATGAAAACAATTTTATAAAGTAATTAATGTTTCTAGATTTAGTCAAACGATCTTTATTAACAAATTGCGATTATTAAATAACAACAACTCTAGATTTATAATTGGTTATAGTATAAAATATATTTCAGATTTCCGGTTTATACCTATATCTAGTATCTAACCTCCAACTTTATTCAATAATATAAAATTATTACCGAAGAAAATATGTCTTAAATAATCTTAATTTATTTACTTAACGATAAGATAAAAAGAAACTAAATAAATTGTTAAAGACGTGTGCCGTGCAACAGTTTTATGGAGTTATCACCATTATTATTATCAGTATTAGTTTTATTTTTGCCCTCATACGATTATTAATTTTCAGAAAATTTGGTGAAACACCTTAGTTTTAAGAATAGTGTTTTGCTTTAACCCTCTTACTGTGTTCATAAAAATTTACGCCAATTGTGTTCGGATCACATAGTCATTGAAGAAATATATATATAATTTTGAAAACTGAACAATTATATAACAGCTGTTTATTTATAGTAAACAGAAGATACACAATGAAATATGTATTTACTTAAAAAATTGCTAAGAAAAGCAAAAATAAGGACAATAATTTTAAAACTAATCAAATGTGCGACTTTCTACTTCTTACAATTAATACAATAATAATATGTGTTTTTTACGGATATGTTTATTGCACTTTAGTCGTATTATATTTGTTTTATTGTTATTAGATGATGAGCGATATTTGCATCTTGATCGCTTGGTTAGTTGTTGAGTTGCACTGCTAGAAACAAACGTCTTTTGTGTAATTTTCTTTCTTTTCAAGTTGAATTCACTAAAACCATATAACAAAACTGCTATACATATACGGATACATACATACATCGACCATATCGAAAAATATGACCATAGGCCATCTTCTGGTTTGTTGCTTGCATGTATAAGTTGTTACAATTTGATCTAAAGTATATACAGCACCTTTAGTTTTATTATAATCGAAGATTATTTCCGGTTTTTCGTGTGGTTCATGTGAAATTTTAGAATCACGATGCGCATCGTACGTAAAGTTGATGAACGGGTTGTCGGTTGTTGCATCTACGTAGCAACAATTTTATGGCTTTTCGGATACGCTCGACACCAATCAACGACGAACTTATGTATCTGTCAATTTCCTGAATAATTATTACTCTGACAGATCATCATCCAAAGAAGAAAACGACGAAATTAGTTCACGCGTATTTTTTATAACTTTCCCATCAAATGATGAATAAATGCATTTCGGACTCCTTTCGGAAGTGTCTAGATAAATATCCCACAACAAGTCTACGTTGGCATTGAGGTTCAAAATTTGTCTTTTTTTATCATTGTCCTTTAAATACTTTCTGTCAACTATTTTGGGCCCATGCAGTAAAATCCTTCTATTTCAGAAAAACTGTCGGTTGCTTCTTTTTCAGTCTCTCTAAGCAGTACTACACATTTAGATACATTATTTGTACCATTGATAAAATATTGTTGTAGCTGTCACCTTTTTATTTTTTTTTTTTTTTTACATGGGGGAAATCCTCATGGACACCCCGCCCCCTGCGGAAGGGGACGGGGTAGTGTTGGACTCTTACCGACTAAAAACCCCACGACGACCCTCGTTTGGGCGCGTCGGTGAGACTCCAGGCTCTCGCGTAGCGAACACTACCGGAGCCCGACCGCGCCTAGGCTTGCGCCCCGACCCGGGGGAGGGGTACCATCCCCTCCACGAAACTCGGTCCGTCACTGGTGTGCGGGGATTTTACTTCCCCGCCCACTGCAGCAGCGGCGCTGTTCTCGCTCAGCGCCGCCGCCTTACTCCGCGGCGTATTACACGCCCCGGGGACAGGTCGTTGCGGGCGCCATACCTCGCTCGCCGCCCCCGCAATGCAGCCGTCACCTACTACCAGCTACAAATGCGACAGTGTTGACGAATTTTTCAAGCAGAACGATGTTTTAGGAGCTATCAACCAAATATTGGAATTTAAGCTCTCGTTATCATTTTATGTGAAATAATTTTCACATC